TGTCCTGAACAAAAAATTGGTCAAGATAAATGCAAAAAGGAGCAAGGTTTTACATTTATTGAAGGTAGGAAAAGAAACACACTCTGCAGAGCCAGTGTGGGCCAATTAAAAGTAGGAAACTTAGTACACTGTGCTGGGTGAGAACCGACCCTGAGAAAGAGAATACAGTGGCCAAGAGCTGAATGGCTGCAGTTGGTTTGTATCTCCCACCCCTCAGGCTGATGTCAGGTCTAGGCTGCTCTGTCAAAAACCTGCCTGAGTTCTGTGGAGAACTGGAGCTAGCACTCTGATTAGTTCTAGGTCAGGGCTTTGGGAACCGTTTCTGTGAATTTCCTAACTCTCCGTTATTGAGACAACTTGCTCGTCCAGTTTGCCACCCCCTAATCTGCCTCACAGCTAAAGAGTATAGTGCTCTTGGAATATGGCCTGGAAGTGAGGTAGGAGAGGTACACGGGGGAGGAGGGAGAGCCAGGGAAGTTGGGAATTATATAGTAAAAGGCATTGAATGGCCTGCTGAGGAAGTATAGGTTTGTCCTGAAGAGTCTGATGGATAGATTTTTTTTCAGCCATACAGTTCAGCCTGACCTTGAACTCACTATGTAGCCCAAGCTGGCCTTGAATTTAACAGCAACCCTCTTGCCTTAGCTTCCTGAATGCTGGGATTTGGGGTGGGGGGTACGAGACCTGACATGAAGATCACTTAGAGATATTAAATTAATTAGGGGAGCTGTTTGGAGAACTTTTTCTTTTTTTTCTTTTGATGCCAGGAATTGAACCCATGGTCTTCACACTGAGCTACATCCCCAGCCCTGTTTGCTTGGTTTTTGAGTCAAGGTCTCTCCTTAAACCACTAATTTCCATAGACTGGGCTCAAAATTATTATTGTTTTTTTCGTATTGGGGACTGAACTCATAACCTTGCACTTGTATGCATGCTGCCACTGAGCTAGATCCCTGGCTGGACTCAAATTTTTAATCCTCCTGCCTCAGCTTCACAGAGTGCTGGAATTTCAGGCATGTACTACCATGCCTTGCTGATTTTAGGTGATTTTCTTAACATTAAGAGTAGACTGCTGGGGATTTAGCTCAGTGGTTCCGCTGCCTGCCTAACAAGCAGAAGGTCCCAAGTTTGATCCCCAGTACAAAAAAAAAAGGGTACACTGCAGCAGGGCTGGGGATTTAGCTCAGTGGCAGTGGTGCCGGGACTGCCTTGAAAGTTCAAGGCCCTAAATTCAGTCCTTGGTACCGCATGCATACATACATACATACATAAATAAATAAATAGAGTGGACTGCAGCAGATAAATGGAGCTGGAATTGAGAAGATACTTTGCAACTAGTTGGAAAGATTTTACATAAATCTAAGTAAAAAGGGGAGTTGAAATGAGATTCTCTCTGAGTATAAAAGTCTAAGGATAGACTTTTTTTGTTTGTTTTTTTTGAGACAGGGTCTCACTATGTAGTTGAGACTGACCTGGAACTCACTATGTGGTCCAGAACTCATAGTGATCCTCCTGCCTCAGCTTCCCGAGTGCTGGTATTACAGGCATGAGCCACCACACCCAGCTAAAACAGACTTTTTTTTTAAAAACACATTTTAACTAAGAATTTAGTACCAAGGAAAATGAACAAGAGGTTTTCTACCTGGATTTTTAAAAGTATTTTCCTACTAGAATAAAAGCAGTACTAAATACCTACCACACAGGGTGGTGGGAAAATGACAATAATTAACAAAGTGTCATTTTCAATGGCTCATTGTGGCAGACCAGAGAATTGAGGCCTAACTGGCTTCCTCTGTGAGCACAAAGGAGAAAGGCTGCACTCGGGTGATTGCATGTTGCAAGGATCTAGGGAAAACTCAAAACAGCTGGGGTTAAGTTGTTTATCAGGACAAGTACCACAGAGGGTGGGAGACAGATGAATATTGTGTTACTTTGATTATTTTTTCTTGGATTTGGGTAGTAACAGTGAGGTGCGCTAAAGGCTCAGGGCCCCTCCGCCTCCCCACATGTTAAACTGATTTTGTATCTCTGTCATTCATTTCCATTTGCCCTGGGTCAGGGAGAACAAAGTAGCTGGTCTAGGTCCAGGAGCAAGGCCAGCCCAGTGGATCTGCTACAGGAGGCGCCCAAGTGTGAGCTCAGAGCCCTGGCTTGCCTGCAGTTAACATCCTAACAGGGACCTGAGATGGGGTGGCCTACGGATCATACTAAATCAAACTAGGCAAAAACTAAAACGCCCATATTTCAAATACATTTCCTTCACCCAGACACTACATACATGAAATTATATTAAGAAAAGAAGAAATATATTAAGAAAAAAATTATATTAAGAAAAAAAATCCCAGGGGCCAGAGATTTAGCTCAGCGGTTCGGTGGCCTGCCTTGCAAGCGCAAGGACCTGAGTTCAATCCCCGGTACCAAAAAAAAAGAAAAAAAAAATCCTATAACCTATGTAAATTTTACAGTGTACATACAGAAACAGCACATTTCAATGCTTTACAAAAGTAGAGTTCAAATACAGTTTAAAAATGAGCCACTGGCCAAGGTAGGAGGATAGTAATTTTGAGCTCAGCCTGAGCAACTTAAGATTCTGTCTCAAAATACAAAATAAAAAAGGGCTGGATGTGTAATTCAAGGATAGGCTTTAAACATCTCAGAAGTCCAGCGAGTAAGACAATTTGTTCAGGCTGGATGTGGGACTGAGTAAAAGGGAGTGTCAAGGATAAAATCCCAAACCTGGATGGATGGATTTGACGGGAGCAGTTATGAAAGAGGGGACTTCATGTGCTGAGTTCCATTTTACACATGCCACGCTCACACAGCAGCTGAACACTGATTAGGGAAACAATTTCCTAAGCCAAATTGCAGAGGCTTAAGAAGTTAATAGTCAAGCAGGTGTTTTAGACTACTTTACAAAGCTCTGCAGCGCTGAGGGTAGAACACAGAGCCTTGTGCATGTTGCTAACTGCCTGAGCAGCTTTGGAATAAATGAGGGGAACGTGTGCCTGGGTCTCTGCAGGGTTGGGGATTGACGGACCAAAGGGTCTTGGAAGGGCAGATGAAGTAAGAAAGTGCCTTGAAAATGTTGTTGGGAGTATCCCTGGGATCCAGTGGATTTTGAAGTGAAACCAAAAAGGCCTAAGGCCTAGTGCAGGACTTCTTAAATTTGAGCAACATCAGAATCCTTGGAAGGGCTGCTTAAAATACCTGGCTAGGTCCCACCCTGAGAGTTTCCCGTTCAGTGGGGCTAGAACAACGCTGAGAATCTGCATTCCTAACAAGCTCACTATGTGGATGCTGTGGGTCAGGGGTCGGGGACATGCTTTGTTTTTTTGTGTGTGGGGGGGTGTTTTTGTGTGTGTGTGTGTTTTGTTTTTTGTTTTTGTACTGGGGCTCTAACTCCTGGCCTTGCACCTGCAAGGGAGGCAGCAGACCACTGAGCTAAATCCCCGGCCCTTTTATTTTTTTATTTTTTATTTTTTTTAGACAGTGTCTTGCTATGTAGTTCAGGATGGCCTTGAACTCACTATGTAGCTCAGGCTGGCCCCAAACTGGCATTGATTCTCCTGCCTCAGCCTCCCAAGGGCTGGGACTTGCCCTGAAACCACCACTTAGGGAGAGTACCCGGCAGCAGGCAAATGTTGAGTAATTTTCTGAGTGAAAGGAAGAGGAACTTTCTTCAGATATGACTTCTCCCTGCAGTTACAGTCCAGATGGAAGAGAGGGCCATGTGAGGTGAGGGAAGGTGATGGAGTAATTTGGATTCAATGAAGGAGCAATGGGGGGGGGGGACAAAGGTCAGGACTGACCCTGCCAGAAGAATCAGAGAACAAGTTATTGAGCATTACAAAATAAATCGTTACTAGGCCTCGGGATGTACCTGTGGTAGTGTGTGCTTACCATGCATAAGGCCCTGAGGTCAATCTCCAGCGCCAGGGTGGGGGAATCTTGTGTGGTAGAGGCTGGGGTGCACCGGGCAGCTCCAACAGGAAGTCAGTATCTGCTCGGGGTCTAATTTCCGGGCCTGAATTCTGAGGAGGTGTTCATGTTAGGCCCCACAGACAGGGCAGCCCAATTGGTTAGCGCAAGAAAACTCGTAACAAAACCTAAGAGAAATCTGGACGGGGAGCCTGCTCTGGCTGCTTCTACAAGCAAGGTCTGGGCTAGGCCTCAGGTTTTTTGGGGGATCTCTAGGGAGGAAATCCAGGCCTGAGAAGGAACAAGTCACCTTGGGCCCTATTAGAAGCAGGATAAACAGGCTGCTGATTCTGGGAGAAATGGCTTGGGAAGAATTAAAAATTCTACTAGAGTAAAACTGAGATTTTTTTTTTTTTTTTTGATACAGGGTCTCATTATGTAGTAGAGACTGACCTGGAACTCACTGGGTATCTCAGGTTGGTCTCGAACTCGCAGCAATCCTCCAGCCTCAGCCTCCCAAGTGCTAGGATTACAGGTGTGCGCTACCACGCCCGGCCTAAAACGTTGAGATTTAAAGTGCCCGCTAACCCTCAGCAAACGACCCGGAAGCTGTTTCTCCATTGCAGGAGCAGCACTCAGAGCACCCTGTGCTGATTAGCTGTTAGATCTGACTCGCTCCAGCAAGTGTTCCTCCGCCGCCTACGCACGCACGCACGTTAACTCCGCTACTAACCTCCTGTGCGACCTTCCACGGAGCTTCTTATCTGCCTTATCTTTCTCGTTTGTAAAATGCCGACACACCACAAATCAAGGTGTGTTCATTAATGTAGAGTTCAGGACACACAGTGAGCTTCTGTAAATACCAGGATTCGTTACTTTGTCAATGGCCAGAGGTGTGCGTGGTCTGTAGTGCTAACTGGTGCGCGCGCACAGCGCTGCTAAGTCGCAGTCGGAACAGCATCTGGGCGGAGACGCTGCTGGAGGGGGGGAAGGCGGAGTCGGTAAACAATCTGCGCAGCCGCAGAACGTATTGCAGTGGCGCCTACCAGCCACTAGGAGCCTCAGGAGCCTCTGGATTCGCCCCGCCTCCGAGGTCAGGGGTCAGGGGTCAGCGGATTGTGAAAGATCTGCTGCTACAAGTGGCGGAGATCTGAGGTCCTGACCCTATGGCACCGCCGCACCGCTGTCCTCTCTGCCGCCAGACCTTTTTCTGTGGTCGCGGGCACGTTTACAGCCGCAAACACCAGCGGCAGCTGAAGGGAGCTTTGGAGCGGTTTCTGCCCCAAGTAGGGAGGCTAGGTTCGGGTCGCCGGGGATGCGGTGCAGTGTCTTGAGGACCCGAGGCACTGTGATTTTGCCCGCAAACCCTCGAGCCTAACCGGCCTCTCCCATAGGTGGAGGCCGCCCGCAAGGCCGTCCGCGCGGTTCAGGTGGAGCGTTACGTGCCCGACCACGAGCGGTGCTGCTGGTGCCTGTGCTGTGGCTCGGAAGTGCGGAAACACCTGAGCCACGGCAACCTGACGGTGCTGCACGGGGCGCTGCTGGAGCATCTGGCCAGGTGACAGCCCCCACCCCAGCCCCGGCACAGATGCACATCTTTGTAGGAGGGAGGGATTGGGGTAGATTTGGGATTTGATCAGAGTATATGGTTTGCATCACGTTGCAGGCATTACCAACCTTGGGGTAGGGGTCTTGTGGCTCTCGTGGCCCCAGTGTTGTGGGCATTCTAGCTGCGAGATCTTGCTTGCTCACCGACCATCACCTCATTTCCCTTTTGCAAGAAGGGACGCGAAATTGTCAAGACATTGGTAGTATTCCTCTATCTGCCTCGCCCGAGTTAGGAATCCAGATATCATTTCGCATCACTTCCTAATGCTTAGGTGCCTGAGTACTGCTTTATAGTCTCCATCCTCCCCTTTCTCAGCCCAGAGCACAAGAAAGCCACCAACAAATTCTGGTGGGAGAACAAGGCTGAGGTCCAGATGAAAGAGATGTTTCTGATCTCCCCCCAGGACTATGCACGGTAAGTCACTGGCTATGAAAGTGAATTCTCTGGATCTTTATCAGATATGAGGATTATATTTTTTGTTTTTGCTAAAATTTTTTGTGTGTGTGCACGCGCACGCACCAGGGATTGAACTCGGGACCTTACACTTGTGAAGCAATTAGCAGAACCCTGAGCTAAATCCCTGGCCCTATGTTTTTTGGTTTTGGTATTGAGGATTGGACCCAGGGCCTTTGCACTGAACTGCATCCCCAACCTTATTTATTTATTTATTTTTCAGACAGGGTCTTGTTATGTAGTTCAGGCTGGTCTTGAACTCACTGTGTAGCACAAGCTGGTCTTCAGCTCATGGCAGTCCTCCTACCTCAGTTTTCCAGAGGGCTGAGAATTACAGCCATATGCTACCACATCTGGCTGAGAACTTCTTTCTTTCTTTCTTTTTTTAGATGGGGGTCTCACTTTGTAGTGCAGGCTGGCCTTGAACTCATGTAGCTCAGGCTGGCCTCAGATTTGCAGTGAGCCTCTTGCCTCAGCCTCCTGAGTTCTGGAATTACAGGCATGGGCCACTGTGCCTGGCAGGCACTTCTTTAATTGGGATGTTGAACAGAAACCTCATAAGTGTCTACAGTCTTCATAGCCTTTATTATTCTAGACATTATATTGAACATATGTGCACATACACATATACACAAATGTGATAGGTTTGGTGGTGCACACCTGTAGTACTAGCTCATGGGAGAGGCTGAGGTAAGAGGATTGCTTCAGCCCAGGAGTTCAAGGCTAGCCTATGTAACAGTGAGGCACCCCATCCCAACAAAAGAAAAAAAACATATATATGTAATAGAGTTGAGGTTTATAAGTGGGAGGTGAGAACAACTAGAGAACAGTATATAATAAAAGTTGACTGCAATCAGTTACTTAAAGAATAAAGTGCTTTAGGAATAGAAGAGGTTATTTGTGATGTAATTCCCACTGCTGGGACCAAAAGGCTATCACCCAGTGTTTTTTATTGGTACATTGTAGCTATACATAATGATAATATTTATTACAGGGAATTTGTACCTGTATATGAGTATATCTTGATTCTTTTATTCCCCTTTCCCTTCTGTCCTTCTTCCCCTCCTTATTTACAAAAGCTTTGTTTCCATTTTTTCCTTCTATTCTTTTTTTTTTGTCCCTTCCTTTCCCCCTCCCTCCTCTTTGTGCCCCTCCTCATTTGAACATTTTTTTCCCATTTCAAATATCGGACATCCATTTTGGTTCTTATTTACACTTTTGGTTTCCCATACCAGAGAAACAATGTAGTAGTTACACACGTGTGTCTAGTTTATTTCATTAAGAGTATGTTCTCAAAGTGATCCATTTAACAAAAAAGTCTCAAGCTTACGCTTTATTGTAGAGTAGTACTCCATTGTATTTTTTAAAAATCCACATCTTGCATGTTTTGGGGCCAGAGATTTAACTCAGTGACGCCATGCCTGCATGCCTGCCTTGCAAGCACAAGTTCCTGAGTTCCATCCCCTGTACCAGAAACCAAACCAAAACAAAACAAAAACACATCTTTTTATATTGATCACTTGATGGGCATTTAGGCTCTTTCCAAGATGTAGCTATTACACAGTGTGCCACTATAAACATGGGTGTGCATATATTGCTGTAGTATGATCCTTTTCTTTCAGGAAGATTCCAAGCAGGGGAACAGCTGGGTCAAATGAAACCTCTAGTCCCTGGTTTTTGTTTTGTTGTACTGGGGATTGAACTCAGGACTTTATGCTTGCGAGGGAGGCAGGCAGGCGGCACCACAGAGCTAAATCCCTGACTCTAGTCCTAGCTTTTTGAAGAATCTCCACACTGATTTCCAGTGGTTGCATCAGTCTACACTCCCACCAACAGCAAAGGAAGGTTTCTTTTTCCTCAGAACACCATTTCTTATTGGTTGATTTCTCAATAACAGCCGTTCTTTATGGAGTGAGACGGAATCTCAGCATTGTTTTCATTTTCATCTCTCTCGAACAATCAGTGATATTGAACACTTTTTAATATATTTATTTGCTCTTTCTACTTCTGAGAAGTGTCTTCATTTCAGATGCCCGTTTTTGGATTGGGTCTTTAAATTTGCGGGGGCAGTGTCTGATTTTCTTTTTTAATTATCAAAATTTTATTCTTAAACCTGAAAAAGTACAATAAGTGAGTAATGTTAGTGAAAAAAAAAACTTAAATTCTAAAACTGATTAACCATTCAATTAAATTTTTTTTTAATTAAAAGAAATGGGAGCTGGGGATTTATTTAGGTCAGTGGTGCAGCCACCTGCCTCACAAGCACGAGGTCCCGAGTTCAGTCAAGGTCCCAAGTTCAATCTCTGGTACCAAAACAATGAAAAGAAACGATAAATTGCTAGATCACTTACATAGAGCAGGAACATGAGGTTGCTGTACACTGTGTTCTCTGCAACCAGACTTTGACTCTCCCCTGCTTAGGACACTGACCTCTTCGATATCCAGAGGGCATTGCCTCATTCTTCACCCAGGGCAGGGGATGCTCCTGACCAGGGCTGTGCTATAACACGGCAGGCAGTAGGACCAGTTCTAGCCAGGCTTCTTTTGTCCTCATTTCTCAACATCTCCTCAGGGTAGCATGAGGAAGAAATGTAGTTTCTGCCTGTGATCTGGATAAAAATTGCAAAAAACTCTGCTTGATGTTTTTGGCCCGTTTTCTTGGACCCCACCAAGAAACAACTTGTACAGAAGATTGCTGTTAGGTACCTACTGATGCTCTGGGTAATTTTCTGTACTCAAGCTCTGGTCATGAACTTTCAAGCCTCCCCATTGGCAAAGAGCATCCTCCTATCATAGCCAGGAATTTCCAGGTGCCGAGATATTTATCAGGAAACTACTTCTAGCTATGCTGTGTTCATCACTCACCCACCATAATATCACAGGTGAGCTACAGTGAGCAGACAAGGGCGTAGGAATGGATGGAGGGGTCCACACCTTCATTTCAAGGCCAACTATCACCACCAGTCACTCAGAAGCTGACACACAGATCACAGGAACTGGTTCATGTGACAGCATTGATGACATATTTTCACTTCTATAACGGGATACTTCAGTCGATACTTGAGCATGGGGAGTGAGCAATTCAGGCATTTTAGCACCAGTAGCTCTCAGTCTGAGGAGTAACTGTGGAAGACTTCAGGGTGCTTGACCCCTCCTCTCTTTCATGGCTACTGGATTGTTATATCAGGATTGCATTAAATCTGTGTAACAATTTTGGAATATGGCCATTTTCACTATATTGCTTCTTCCTACCCAAGAACAAGGAATATCTATTTTCTGATATCCTCTTCAATCTCCTTTTTCAAAGTACTGTAGTTTTCCATGTAAAGGCCTTTACTTCATTAGGTTGATTCCTAGGTTTCCTTCTTTTTCTTTCTTTCTTGTTCTTTTTGGATACTACTGTGATAGGTGTCACCCATAACTTAAAGGAATGGCTTTTCTGGCTCATGTTTCAGAGGACGCAGTCCAAAGTTGGTAGGCTCCAAGGCAGAAACATCAGGGCAGAGGGAGTGACAGAGCAAAGCTGCTTAGTACAGTGGCTGGGAAGCAGAGCAGGGGAACAGTGCCTAAGGGGAAGAGGCCAGGGACCAGAAACAGACGCCAAGATCCTGACTCTGTGACCCACCCGGTCACATATAGAAGCTTATTTTACTAATTGTCTAATTGGCTCCCAAGCCAGTCAAGTTGACAGCTAAGGTTAACCATCACCTGGTGTGCCCACTTAAGAGTAGTTCTGGACTCGTTTTACTGTCCCATGGAGGGCCCTGAGAAACTGATGTGCAGGCAGCTGGTCAGTGTGGATGGAGTGTGGGCCCTGAACTGTTTCAGGAAGAGAACACAGTCTGCTATGCTACTTTTGTTTTGGTTTGGTTCTTGCCAGTACTGGGGATTAAACCCAGGGTCTTCTCACAGAACTACATCCCTTACATTCCTAGTCCCCCCCCCCACTTTTGGATACAGGGTCTGTCTGAGTCACTATTACTAAAACTGGCCTCAGACTTGTGATTCTCCTGCCTCAGCATCCCAGGGATTACAAATGTGTACCATAACACCCAGCACTGTCCTTTAATTGGGACTACACTGAGATGCAGTGTGGAACCTAAGGGGCTGTCAGAGCCAACAAGCTGCCTGAATTCTACTACCTTGCCTTCAGATCTGTGGTTCAGTCCTGAAGAAGTAGGAAACTGAGGACAACAAGCACTTATGTTGAATCCTGACCCAGATCCATATCTTTTTTTATTCCCCTCCCACCCCCATTCTGGGGATTGAACCCAGGAGTGCTATACCACTGCCCTACATACTGGCCCTTTTACTTTTTGAGACAAATTCTTGCTAAATTGCCCAGGCTGGCCTCAAACTTTCATATGCCTTTTGGATAGTGAATTAAAGATAGGTGAAGCCGGGTGTGGTGGCACACGCCTATAATCCCAGCACTCGGGAGGCTGAGGCAGGAGGATCCCTGTGAGTTCGAGACCAGCCTGGGCTACATAGTGAGTTCCAGGTCAGTCTCAACTACATAGTGAGACCCTGTCTCAAAAAACAAAAAAAAAAAAAGTAAAAATAGGGCCAAGATTTAGCTCAGTGGCTCTGCCACCTGCTTCGAAAGCACAAAGTAGAGTTCGAACCCTAGTACCAAAAAATAAATACAGACACACACACACACACACACACACACACACATATATATATAAATACAAACTAAAAATAAGCCAGACATGGTGGTGTATTCCTGTTTGGGAGGCCAAAGTAGGAGAATCATAAGTTTGAACTGTCAGAGCAACTCTATGATTTAATAATACCTTGTATCTTATTTATTTATTTATTTATTTATTTATTATTTATTTATTTATTTATTTATTTAGACAGGGTCTCGCTATGTAGTTGAGACTGACCTGGAACTATGTAGCCCAGGCTGGTCTTGAACTCACAGTGATCCTCCTGCCTCAGCCTCCTGAGTGCTGGGATTACAAGCGTGCACCACCATGCTTGGCTTTTATCCTAATTTTAAAAAGAATTTTTTTTGGTACCGAGGATCGAACTCAGGTTCTTGAGCTTGCGAGGCAGTCACCAGAAGCTAAACCCCCAGCCCTAAAAAGAATATTTTTAAAGGGCTAGTCATTTAAGTCAGTACACAGGACCTAGATTCAGTCCTCAGTACCACAAAAAATAAAAAATAAAATGTAGCTCAGTACTTACCTATCTTGGGTTCAATCTCTAACTTAAAAGAAATATCCAAAGGGGGGGAATACTAACTTTGGTACCAGGGATCAAACTTGGGATCTTGTGCTTGCAAGGCAGGCGGTGGCCCCACTGAGCTAAATCCCCCATTCCAAGTTTGATCCCTAGTAAAAAAAAAAAAAAAAAATCCAAAGAGCAACTTTTAGATTTAGGCAGTTGTTATACTTACATAAACAATGAAGAGAAGAGTAGGTCCTTGTCCCACACATTAAAATGGGCCACATTAAAACAAGGACCATGTGAGGTAGCATGAGTTGGGGGATGTTCTGTTGCTAGGCAGGCAAATCTAGATTGTGGATAAGTAATTTGTTTTTAAGTTTCTTTGGGTCAGCACTGGAGATGCTAAGTACGTATTCTACCAAAGCTAAGTGGGGTTTGTTTTTTTTTTTTTTCTTCACAGTACTAGGGATTGAATCCAGGGCCTCTGCTCTGCACTACATCCCCCTTTTTAAATTGTTTAAATTTTGGGACAGGGTCTTACTAAATTGCCTAGTCTGGACTCAAAGTGTGATTCTCTTGCTTCAGCCTCCCAGGGTGTTGGGATTACAGACGTGAGCCACCATACCTGGCTGCTACATGGTTTTATATTTAGCCATATACATGAAAGGAATGATTCTGAAAGCCCCATTCTTCTTGAGAGCCTGAGAGGTGACGGGGAGATGGGAAGGCCAATGGGAGTAGGACTCGTACAGCATCTTGAGGCCTCTGGTCCTCTTGGGGACTGGGTCGTACAGGGCTTTCAGCAAGACTCGGGTGAGCACTGGTTCAAGCTGTTGCCTGAGTAGATCAGTGCGTGGCTGCCAGGGCACTGTTGTACTGGTGTCATTCTGGAAACTTTCATCTATTATTAGCCAAAACTGCAAGTCTATTGATGATTTAGGAAACCAGGGTTTTCACTAAGGCAGAAAGAAGATGGAGAGAGCAGAGGACTTGAATAGGAAGATATTGGTATGAATTCTAATAGTCACGTGTGACACAAGGAACAGCCAAGTCTTGATATGCTGTATGTTCTCCTACCATGAGGTAATGGGAGTGTCCTTGATGTGGTATTCCTGCCAGAGATGCTTAGCCTGAGTGTCATTACAAGCAGACTGAGTTTAGGATTGTGTGTGAGATCTGGTTTTGTCAAAAGATTCAAAGTAATAGAGGAAAGCAGGATTGTTCTAGACCAAGGGAGACCTGACAGACAAGTTCCACGTGTGACCTTCCATAGGCCTTGAGGTAGAGAGGTGTTTTTGTTTTTGTTTTTTTGAGACAGGATCTCACTATGTAGTTGAGACTGCCCTGAAACTATTAGCCCAGGCTGGTCTCAAACTCGAAGCATTCCTCCTGCCTCAGTCTCCTGAGTGCTGGGATTACAGGTGTGCGCCACCATGCCCAGCTATGCCTCTTGAGTGCTGGGATTACAGGTGTACACCAGAATGCCCGCTCATTTTTGAGACCTTTTTGCTTTGAGACAAGTCATTAAGTTGCCCAGGCTGGGCTTCCACTTGTCCTCTTCCTACCTCTGCTTTCCAGAATGCTGGGATATGCATCATTAAACACAGCTCAATCTATTTTTACTTTGGCAAAACGGCGGGGTGTGGTGTGTATAAAAGAGAATGGAGTCAGTATGGCAAAATGTCAAAAGCACTAATGGCAAGGCCTCGGGGTGGGGGACTGCTACTTCAGATGTAAACAGAATCTTTGTGAGAGACAGAGGTTTTATACTATTTTGTGAATTTGAAAATTCTCTTAAAATTTCACAACTGGCAGGGGCTGAGGTTTTAGGCTGATTTGTGTGTGTGTCCTTTTGTAGATTCAAGAAATCCATGGTGAAAAGTTTGGATTCCTATGAGGAAAAAGAGGATGAAGTGATCAAAGAGGTGAGTTAAAAAGGCCTGCAATGTTCCCACCCCTGTGGCCCTGAGCCTTCTAAGCAGCCCATCTCCCACAGATGGCAGCTCATATCCGAGAGGTGGAGCAGAGCCGGCAGGAGGTAGTCCGATCTGTCTTAGAGGTTGGTTTCTCTCGGAGGATCCAGAGCAGTATCCACATGCACTGATCCCTGGTTTTCCCAGCTCCAGCATTTCAACCACCAGCTAAATCTTCTAAGAACTCAAGGACTCTATTCATTCCTCAGCCACATGGCTTGAGTTCCTGAACTGTCTACTGGGCAGTCCTAGCCAGCAGAAATGTGGGCAGGGCCGGGAGGGAGCTTGAAGGATGAGCAGCACCGCCATATGCCATTGGGATGTGGAGTTGTGGGGGCATGGGCTAGGCAGGCTCTAGAGTACTTTAGACACATTTATTTTTCCTGAATCAAACTCAGCCTCAGACAGAGCCAGATCCAGAAGAGGGCTCTTCAGCATCTGGAAGCTGCAAAGGGATAAACCGGTAAGGCTGTCAGGGAACCTCTGGACTTTGACATCCTTTTGGCTGGGAAATGGAAACAGCTACTCTGCCATCCTTATGGTCAAGGACCTCATCTGCCAGCTTGGCTCATTTGTCTTTCAGCCAAGTAGCCTCCAGTTCACAGGAGCCCTCATTCCTGGACCTGCCACCAGCTCCAGAACTTGACTGGATGGAGCCTGGACAACCTCTGACATTCATTGGCCACCAGGTACAATGGAACAAGCAGGCAAGAGGAGGGCCTGTAGCCCCTGGGGTCCCAGAACAGTCCTCTCCTGTTTCCTGCCTGTAACTGACCATTTTTCTCTACAGGCCTTTCCATTTCACTGCACTGCTCCCTTTTTTGGTACCAGGGATCAAATTCAGGACCTTGCAAATGTGAGGCAGGTGTGGTACCACTGAGCTAAATCCCAGCCCTCCCCTTTCTTTAGTCACACCTGTGTTGCCACCATCACCACTCAGGACTGCTAACCCCTAGGTGTGTTCCAGCTTGATACCTGACTTCAGTATCCCACAAGCACTGGAAATTAAATCCTACCTGTCCTGTATTTCCAACTGCTATAGGTGCAGATCCTGTTATCTACTGACTGTGGTAGTGGGAATTACACCCAGGCCCTTCACACTGAGCTACACCCTCAGCCCTTTTTTAAATTTGGGGTTTGTTTTTTTTATACTGGGAATCAAACTCAGGGCTCACACTTGCCAGGCAGGTGCTGTACCACCAAGCCATATCCCTGGCCCCTTTAAAATTTTGAATGAAGGGGCCAGGGATTTAGCTCAGTGACTGCCTGCCTTGCAAGCAAGCTCAAGGTCCTGAGTTCGATCCTTAGTACCAAAAAAAAAAAAAAGTTTCAGTAAGATACTAAGATATCCAGGCTGGGTTCAAACTTGTGAGTCACCTGCCTCTCTGCCTCACAGATTACAGGTGTGTGCTACCACACCCAGCCAAGACTGTCTATTGGTTTTAAATCCCATCTCAATTCAGCCTTGGGAAAATTTCTGCTCCCTCTGGTGTTGCCCCCAGAAGCCACTGCATTATCTACAGGCTCACATCATGTACCCTAAAGTGTGGACTTTGAGGCTGTCTCTGCACATGCTGCTGCCTTTCCTCCCTCCTCAGCTCTCAGCTCAAATGTCACGTTTTCACCAGTGGTTCACAAAGGTCTTCTATTGTAAAGGATGTAGTAGCAGTCTCAACTGTACATGCTTCTCTTCCCCAACGAAGTGTGTGCAGCCAGAGCAGGGCTCTGTCCCCATTCAAATAGCAGGCACTATCAGACACACCCACCATTAAACCATGAACCTCCTGATCTTAAGGCCAGGACTGTTTCAATGATTTATTGCACTTTTGAGATTCAGCACCATCAGAGTACAGAATCAGCACAGCTGTATGGCTATATCCACCTCCTTTAAAGTCTGTTTTGCCATTATCTCTTAAGTATCCTTACCATCTCTCAGCTTTCTTATCTAGGATTTTTTTCCCCCCATTTCTACTATAGGATCTACCCGGAGTTGGTAACATCCACTCAGGTAAGGTACTAAACAATGTTTTTAAAGCTGTAAGAAACAATTTGTGACTTGGCATAAACGTACCATTACCATCCAGCTTTCCCACTCTTTTATCTAAAAGAATTGTACACAACCCCCAAACTGGCAAGTCCAGTCAGCAGTTTCAGATTAACTAAATAACTGGATAATACCCAACAATGAAGGGGGAAATGAGCAACACAGATGAATCTCAACACAATTAGGATGAAAGAACAGACCTCATCCTGAAAATACATATAATACTTATAGGGAAAAACAAAGTATAAATCAAAGCTACATTAGTGGTTTTCTGGGACAGAAAGGGAAGTATATTTTTGTTTTGGTGCTGGGGATCAAACCCAGGGCTTCACATGACTGAGCCACCTCCCCAGCCTCAGAAGGAAATTTTAATGGACCACGAGAATGCTTATGTGAAACACAGGGTCTTGACTGTAGCTTTTAAATTTCCAGTGGGCATGTTGGTGCATGCCTGTAAACTTTATTCCCAGCACTTAGGCTGAGGCAGGACTGTCAAATTCAAGGCCACCCTGAGCTACATATCGAGACCCTGTCTAAAAACACCACCCCAACAAATTTCTTACATATGAGTCTATGTAGTCCAGGCTGGCCAGAACAGTCTTTCAATCCTGCCTTGCCTTCCCAAGTGCTACAGTCATTACAGGCACATACTGCCATGCCTTAGTTTTACTTTTGAATGTTTCTAGTTCTCTGCTGGGTGAAGTTTAAGAAAAAGGCTGCACAGAGTGACACATATCTATCATCCCAGCTACTCAAGAAGCTGAGGCAGAATACAAATTAATCCTGAGCAACTTAAGATCCTGTGTTGAGATAAAAAAAAATTTTAAGCACTAGTGTAGCTCTAGTAATGGTAGTGCCCCTGGTTCAACCCCCAGTATTAAAAAACCCCACCTTTAATTTTTGCATAATGGGTCTTCTTCCAGGTGCCATACCTCCTTGGATGATTCAGGATGAGGAACACAGCTCTGGGAACCAACAAATAGGACCTTCCTATGAAGAATTTCTTAAAGAAAGTGAGTAGCCTAATTTAAAGGGGCAGGAAGTTTTCCAGATATTCACACTGAAGTCTTTGTCATTGCAGTGGAGAAACAAAAACTGAAAAAACTCCCCCCAGACCGAGTTGGTGCCAACTTTGACCATACCTCTAGCACCACTGCAGGCTGGCTGCCTTCTTTTGGTAGAGTATGGAACAACGGGCGCCGCTGGCAGTCCAGGTATGGCTCCCAGGACAAGACTCCAACCCATGATCTCCTTGGGTGACACTTCATCTTGTTAAACCTTCATTTCCTTTCAGGCATCAATTTAAAACTGAAGTTGCAACAAGGACCAAACAGCAGTCTCATAAAGAGAAGAGCTGATCATTACCAGATATTCTTCCACAACCAACCTCTATCCACCCATATTCCTTCAAGGAGCCCTTTGTTTGGAAACAGACATACTTATTCATTTGATTTAGTAATAAAATTTTATTTTTTCCAAATGTACAGCTGGTTGAACCTGTTTAAAAAAAAAAAAAAAGAATCAGAACCACAGAGAAGGACAGGAAACGAATATACCCTCCCCACCTGAGCTCCTTGTTCTTGCTCACCTGTTCATCACGCTTCTTCACCAGCAGCAGGGGCATCTCCACCCTTGGTGTTTCTGGTATAAATAACTTGAGCTCTGTGCTTTGAAACCAACTTGATAAGTCCTAGAAAGATAGGATATAAAGTTTTTATATAATAGCACTATGAGATACTCACTTGCTATCAGAAACTAAAGTTTTCTGGCTGAGGATTTAGCTCAGTAGCACCACACCTGCCTCACAAGCACAAGGTCCTGAGTTCAATCTCTGGTACCAAAACCAAAACAAAACTGGCCACAGATTTAGATTTAACTCATTGGTCCCCCCACCGCCTGCCAAGCGCGCAGACCTTTTGATTCCTGGTACAAAAAACAAAACAACAACAAAAAAAACCCACCTAGTTTTCTACCTCTTCCCAAAATAAAATGCCTTAATTTCAGACAGGTAGGTATACCTAGTTTTTTGTTTGTTTTGGTACCGAGGATTGAACTTCGGTCCTTGTGCTTGCAAGGCAGGCAGAACTACTGAGCTAAATCCCCGGCCCTATGCGTACAGTTCTTAATAACTTTTTTTTTTTGATGGGGGGTGTGGGGGATGTGCTGGGAATTGACTCAGACCCTTGCACTTGTGAGGCAGGCACCAGAACCACAGAGCTAAATCCTCAGCCCTCTTAATGACTTTTTAAAAAGGCAATAAGGGCTGGGCGTGGTGGTGCACGCCTGTAATCCCACACTTGGGAATCTGAGGCAGGAGGATCACTGGGAGTTCAAGACCAGCCTGAGCTACATAGGAAGTTCCAGGTCAGCCTCAAGTACATAGTGAGACCCTGTCTCAAAAAATCCAGAGTCAATAAGGACTAAACTCAAGGCCTTCACACTGAGCTACATCCCCAGCCTTTTAAATAATTTCCAGACAAGGTCTTGTTACCTCACTAAGTTGCCCAGGCTAAAACTTTCAATTGCTGGGATTATACGCATGCACCAGAATGCCCAGTTAATGATCATCTTTATTCAGCTTTTAAATCAGGACCCTATTACCCACTCTTGGGGTTTTCTGTAGTCAATTTTTTTTACTACTACTATTAGTCACAACTTCTGGGGCTAGAGATGTAGTAGCTCAATGGGAGATCACTTGTCTAGCCATGTGAGGGCCTAGCTTTGATCCCCAGCACTGCCAAAAATGTGTGCGTGTGTGTGTGTGTGTGTGTGTGTGTGTGTGTGTTAACACCATTCACTTTAGTTGACTCACCACTCCATTTTTAAACTTAACAGTTTGCAATAGCTAAATCTTGGAGACAGCCCAGATGCCCATCAACCAAGAAATGAAAGTGTTTTTGTTTTTTTACAATGGAGTACAACCCTACAATAAAAGATGAGCTTCAGACATTTACAGCTAAATGAATGACCCTGTGATCATACGTGAAATAAACGGGACACATATGTTTAAATACTGCATTTTTTCTCTGGTGTGAGAAACCAAAAGTGGAAGGAGTGAAATGTGTAAAAGACACTGGGAAAAGGGAAGAAAATGTTCAAATGGGAAGGGAAACGAGGAGGGAGGGAGAAGGGAGGGGGCAAGGAAAAAAAGAAAAAAAATAGAAAAAATGCAAACAAAGCTTTTGTTTAGGGGAGGAATGAGAAAAGAGGTGGATATATCATGTATAGGTACAAATTCCCTACAGTGAGTGTTATACATGCCTAAAATGCGCCAATAAATTTTTTGCTGTAAAAAAAATTAAAGCTTAATACATCAGTTAAAAAGAAACTCAGGCATGTGCCCTCGAGAAGTTGTGGCAGGAGTACCATAAATTCAAGGCTAACCTGGGCTACAGAGTGAGTTCAAGGCCAGCCTGAACTACACAGCAAGAGACAGTCTCAAAACAAAAAACAAAAACCTTACTGGCTAACTTTTCACAGTAGCCCACGTGTTTCCCAAATGCAGGGCATATTTTTGTTTTTGTACCATGGATCAAACTCAGGACCTTGCATTTGTGAGGCATGTGGCAGAACCATTGAGCTATATCCCTAGCCTTGCCAGCACATACTTTGCTTTGATCATCTTTTTCTCTTGTTCTGTCCACATTTGCTCTGCAGAGCTGGTTTCTCCCATACCCCTTTACCCCTCACTTTTCAAATCAACTTTTAAAAAAAAGACATAACATTTCACACTAACAATCACACATTTTGAAAATTCAAGATATGTACAAGTACAAATTCTCTATGATGAATGCAATCATTATATATGCCGAATATACTAGTAAAATTAATTAAAATGCAAATAATTGTCTCCTCTGTAATTCCACTTTTACAACAAAAAATTCCAACGGTTTTTCCAATAAAAGTATTTAGGAGGCATTTCGTGGTCAAGACAACTAAACCCCTAAAAACACCATTCAACACACACTCACCTTTACTAAGGAGCTCCTGAAGGGCTGCCCTGGCCAGTGACCCACGTATCTTCAGTCTCTCAGACACCACAGCAGGCGTTATAAGCTTATAGTTGGGAACTTCCTTACAGAGTTTGTCGTAAGTAGCTTTATCAAACAAAACCAGGTTGTTGAGCTTGTCCCGAACTTTGCCTTTGGACCACTTCTGCTCACAAAGACCAAAAAAAAAAAGGGGGAGGAATCAGTAATCCTGACAGAGCACCCTTTCCCTCCCATTCAACATGTGTTAAAGAACCTCATGCACTGTTACTTCAAAGTTAGTTGCCAAGATAAAAACCACATCTCTGGGGGTTCTGGAACATGGGCTGAGAACCACAGTATCTGTTAAAATAACCTGTACAGGGCAGTTGTTCCCGCCGCCTGCGTAGCAAGCGCAAGGACCCGGTACCAAAAAACGAAACAAAAAATAACTTGTACAGTCAACAGAAAAAGCTTTTATACATTTATTTTCACGACCTTTTAAGTACTGTGTACCACCCTATCCTACAAGTGGGTAAAAAAGTGACGAAAGCAGCATAAACTCCAATAGAATAGGTATCGCTGCGCAGTTCAGGATGGCCTTGAGCTCTCCGGGATCCTCCTGCCTCAGCCTCCCGAGTGCGGAAATTACAGGTGTGCGCCACCACATCCGGCTACGGGTCTAGTTTCTACAACGAGTCGCCACAGCAGTCACTCATCTCTAGGGCAGCGCGGGGTCGCTCCAAGGGAGCGCTCGCCTACCTTCTTTTTGGCCTTGCCCCCAGATTTGTTCACTGGGTCTTTGTCTTTCTTGGCCGACTTTCCCGCATCTTTCTTCTTCTTGTCGTCCTTGGGCGGCTGCCAGAGCAGAGCAGAAATGCAAGCAAGTCACAACGCGGCTCCACGCTCCCTGACCGCCCCACCTCACAGAGTCGCCCGGGATCCACTGGAGCACATGGGGACAGCACTCCCCGCAATGCTGAGGCCCACCCGGCGTCCCCCGAAACCAGGCCGTGCAGTGTCGCCTCCCCTGCGCCCTAGGTCAGCTGGCTCTCAGAATTCCACCAGCTTCACACCCCCGAAGCTTACCATCTCGAAACTCGGAGAGCAACTGAGACCACTGCAGTCTCGTCAAGATGTCGGACAAAAAGGAAGCGCTGCTCCCCAGCGGAACCAGAATGCTCAGCCCGCAGCAAGTACTTCCGGGGCGAGGGGCGGGGCCACGCGGCGGAAAGTTCGGCGGCGAGCGAGGATCCTTTTCGCAGCCAGCCGAGCCCTCGGAATGCTGCCCACTGTGTTATTGGACATTGTTGCTAGCTTCAAGTAGTCATGTAGTGCTCTTCTATCATTGAGATATGAGAAGCAATTTACCATTTCCTTGTGACTACGTAATTTGAGGGCTCTGGAGGTAGCCCCGAGTGCGCAAGCGCAGGGAAGAAAACTGGAGGGTGGAAGCCGGGACTGTCTTTTGACAGCGATTCCGGGGCGGGGACGTCGGAAAGATTCCGAATCGAGTCCCGGCACTGCAGTGACAGCGATGGCAATTTTTAGTGTGTATGTGGTGAACAAAGCTGGCGGCCTGATTTATCAGCACGACAGCTACTCGCCGCGGGCTGAGGCTGAGAAAACTTTCAGTTACCCGTTGGATCTGCTGCTCAAACTACACGACGAGCGTGTGCTGGTTGCCTTTGGCCAGCGCGATGGCATCCGGGGTGGGCCACGCTCGGGGTCGGGGGCCCAGGGCTTGGGAAGTGGGCTGGGGTGAAGGTGGCTGGGTGGGGGGAGGCCGGGGGTTGCTCTGGGTCTCTTGTCCCCTCGGCGAACACCTGGGCCTGGAGCCTCGCTGACCCTTGGCCTCGCTTCTGCAGTGGGCCATGCAGTGCTGGCCATCAATGGCGTAGACGTGAACGGCAAGCACTTGCCCGATGGGAAAGACGTGCTGGAGTATCTGAGTAATCCTGCTAATTACCCTGTGTCCATTCGCTTTGGCCGGCCTCGCCTCACCTCCAATGAGAAGCTCATGCTGGCCTCCATGTTCCACTCGTAAGTGCTCCCTCTTCCCACTGTATATTGGCCTACGAGAAATAAAAGTCACTTCATTTCTCTGGTCTTTCTGTAGATTCGAAGTTTTGCCTTTTCTTTATGTAGCAATCTGGATAAAAAATGGGCTTATTGCAGGGGATTTAGCTCAGTGGCCCTTCGCCTGCCTCGCAAGCGTAAGGTCCTGAGTTGGATCCCCGGTAAGAAGAAAAAGAAAAAAAAAAAAAAAAAAAAAAAAAAAAAAAAAAAAAAACTTGTGACAGTATTTTACAAAATTGAAAGTACTGTAAAAATACAGGATGGCATTATTTGTTGGTACTGAATCATGCTGATGGTTCTAGGCTGGCTGAATTAGTGTGGTTTTGTGGGCACTTGTGAAAAGAAAAACAACTCATCCAGTGTGCCCAGGCTTTAGTTAATACTGACAGTGCTGATCTTGCCTAAGTTAGTTTCTCCTCTCTAGGCCTGTTTTATCTTTAAGGCAATTGTTGAGGGGTGAGGAGGATGGGGTGTGACTGTCACAGATGAAAATGTTCTAAAACGTTAGAAAATGCCCTAAAACTTGGGGTAATGGCTGCACAAGTTCTTTACTGAAAACATGGGATTGTACACTTTAAATGGGTTAATCTGTGGTATGTAAATTGCATCAGTAAAGCATTTTAGCTCTATGCAATTTATTTATTTTTATTTATTTGTTAGCTTCATGCAATTTAAAAAATAAAATAAGGCAAATGTACTAACTGACCTTCCAAAAAAATCTTTTCCTCCTCTCATCTGTGGTATGAGATGTGTTGGCATAGGCTTAGCTTTAGCTAAGTAAGCGTGTATATGTTTCCCAGAATGTTCATTTTACCAGCTTTTGGTATAAAATGTTTTTAGTAAAATGTGTACAAAAATCAAATGAATTTAAAAGAAATTTTGGGGCCAAGGATTTAGCTCAGTGGTTCCACTGCCTGCCTTGCAAATGCAAGGACCCGAGTTTGATCCCCGGGTACCATAAATAAATAAATTTTGACACTGCTGCCAGGCAGTTCACACTCTCCCCTTACTGTACTGGTCTGTAAAGTGAACTCCTCACCTGGGTGTGGTGGTACCTGCCTATGATCCCAGCACTTTGGAAGACTGAGGCAGGGTGATGGCCAGTTTAAGCCCAGCCTGGTCCATTTAGTGAGTTAGCCAGACCTTGTCCCAGAATGAATGAATAGAAAATGGACTGGGAATGTAGCTCAGGGCAAATGTCCAGGGTTCAATCTCCAGTACTACAAAAATAAATAAATGAAGTGAATTCATCAGATAGCATGACTTCCATGGAAAAGGTTGAGCACTTCCTTGTAGCACTGGGTCACTGTCCCAGCTTTGCCTCCTTTGCATTATAGGCTCTTTGCCATTGGCTCTCAGCTGTCCCCCGAACAGGGCAGCTCAGGCATTGAGATGCTGGAGACAGACACATTCAAACTGCACTGCTTCCAGACACTGACAGGTATGCCTCCAGATGGGTCATGGGGATAAATGGGGCAGGCTGGGCCAACGACTGACCATAGACAACTTTGGAGAGCAAGAAGGGGGTACTGTCAGGTTTTCCTGGAATGGCTATACAGACACATCCACTGTTTGCTTTGAAAATTCAAGGCCAATATTTAATTTGAAGCTCATTTTATCCACATCAGCCAACATGTCCAGCCCTGCTCATCCTGGATTCAGATAAAATTTAACAGATGCAAGCAGGGCGTGGTGGCACACACCTGTAATCCCAGCCCTTGGGAGGCTGAGGCAGGAGGATTGCTTGAAGTTTGAGACTAGCCTGGGCTACACAGTGAGTTTCAGAGCAGTCTGAACTACATAATAGACCTTGACTCAAAAAAACCAAAAAAAAAAAAAAAAAT